TTAAAGGTACTAGTTTGATTTTACTTTAGTAGTTACACAATGGAAGCAGAGCCGGACCTACACACATTAGGATGATGCATTACAATGGGGCCCCCACTTTAGAGGGGCCCCACAGAAATTCTATTTTAGTTATTTATACATGTACAAATTTTTGATAATGTGAGGAAATCGTAAGTTTCGTATAGATAGATCCTAAATTATTGTGCGGTCCAAAATATTATATACAATTTAGTTAAAAAAAATTAATTATTCTTTATAATTTCTCCGCAAGTCATGCACCTACAGATCCGTATGGGGCCCCGGATTTCATTGGTCTGGCTCTTATGGAAGTTATATTTTGTCTTAGAAACCATTACTCATAGTTTTTTGGCGGCCCATTATACATACACATAATGTAGTTTAAAAGAATTATAATTGGAAAACAATACACATAAATTAGTGTTAATAGTTTTACAATTTATTTAAAAAATGAAGTGCCAAATGAACCAATAAAAGAAAAAAAATTACATTTATATATATGATCGGTCTTAATGAAGAGTATTGAAGCTTACATATAAATTAGATATTAATGTTTACTATATCCAATTTTGCTCTTTATGCAGATTGTCTGCGCCGTCATCAAATTTGGCGTTATAGATTCTTCTTAAATAGATCCCATCTTCTCTAGCTCTCCAATCCCATAAACCAGAATTTTTAAATGCTCTAAAGCTCACACTGTGACTAAATCCAGGCCCTTGTTTTAAGGTACACATAAAACGCGTCGTACCAAATAAATTATGAAAGAAATAATCAGTAAACTGTCCTCCATTTGGTATTACCGTTGGACCTAGTACGTCATCTTTGGAATAACACCTCATCCAGAGGGTTTTCTTACTTTTGAGTTCGTTCACGATTCTGATTCCGGCACCGGATACATGACCAAGCATGCAAAGGCTAAAAACAAACATGAAAATTGTGAGATTTTTCATTTTTTTTTGTAAAGATGTTTAGATCTCCTTTTGTTGTGTTGACTTGTTTTTTTTTTTGTGCATGTGTATTAATAAACAACATCTATGTTGCTATTTTTGCATTTACAGTTTCTTGTTTCTCTGTTAACATAAGTTTGCTATTAATAGTTGAAATAACAAATTGAATGAGACTGTCAATTTATGGTTGACAAAAATAAGTGTATGAATTTCTAAGCACCAGCCTAGCAGAGGTTACCTCATCCGAAGGTTGTATCGCCACTTGCACTATATAATTTGCGGCAAACAATATGTCCACCAAAATGAATTCACAGATAAATTGCTTATCTTAACCTTCATAATCTATGTACTTATAATGTCCATTATTTTGACATAAACAAAAAGTGCACATGCCGAATTAATCAATCAACTATATCTATAATAAAGTATTTCTTTTACAAGTACTTCAGAGCAATACTATAGATTTCAGAATTCACTTTTTGTATACAACATCTTTATACTTATTGTGAAATCTACTAAAAAGAATGAAATTTTAATTCTAGAGCTCGCCCTTTTTTCCATAGTAAATCAAGTAGTAGTTTTCTTTTTTCTTTTATTATTTCTAATAAAACTTAATAGTAACTAGGCAACAAATTCTTATGAAAATAGATTCCATCATCTCTACCTAACCAATTATATGATATCAATGATCCAATTATATAGTATTTTATGTAGTAACTTGAGATGATGCAATTTGAAAATATTTTGCAGGGGTTGGAGTATTTTTCAGGAACTTATGTTTAAGAACTTTGCATATAAATCGCGTTCAAATTCTAAAACAGAACATTGTTTTAATCTTATGCAACTTAAGAAAAGATTTTTTCACCATCATTTTTTGATGTTATGGAGCACCTGCCTATACATCTCCCATACGAAGCAGAATTAAGAGGCCATGTCCAATATAGGTGTATGTATTCTTTTGATAGGTTTTTCAAAAAATTGAAAAAAAAATGCAAAAAACAAAAGATATGCGGCAAGATCAATTGTTTAGCCATATATCAGTGACGAGATTGCTTATTTCTCAAAACACTACTTTGTCGATCATATACAAACAAAATCAAGGTAATTAAATGCATATATATATATATATATATATATATATATCAATGAAGGTAAATGCATGCTATCTATTATATTTTGAATTACTTTTAATTAACTCATTTGGATCAGGTTAACAAGATTCAATAAAGGTGAAGTTCATGTATATCATGTCCCTGGAGTACCTAATATATTTACCCACGTCGTTCGTCCAAGGGGGAAAATGCATGAAGTATATCTTTCAGAGAAAGACTACCAATGTGCACAGTGCACATGCATTTGTTTTACGAAATTGTGACTATTTTTAACGAATTGAAAGGTATATAAAGGAGACTCCCAACTTACGTTTTAATTTAGATAATCCACAATGATTTCTCATATATTTGTGTTGGTTTGTATTGTATGTTCGAGGATTTTCTTGCTGTAAAATATCCAGGATTGACCAAAAAAGAACTCTCTGCTAAAAGAACTGAAAAATATCATTTGTGGGTGAAAGATTATGTATGTCCACACAGTTTTCATAACTTATATATGAATGCATTTATTTATACTTCTTAATATATATACTGATGTTTTCTTGTAGTTAAATTATGAAATTTTAATTCTAGAGCTTGCCCTTTTTCCCTAATGAATCAAGTATGTTGAGGGATGGTCAATTCGTCCATCTCGTCGCCCATCTCGTCTGTTTCGCTGTCCAATTCGTCCAGTTCGTCTGTTTTGTTGTCCAGTTCGTCCAGCTCCTCAGCTAAATACCCAGTTCGTCCAACTCATCGCTTAACTGCACAGCTCGTCTGTCTCATTGCCCAGTTCGTCCAGCTCCTTAGTCGACTGCTCAGTTCGTCTTACTCGTCTCCAAACTATCCAGCTCATCAACTGATGGCCTAGCTGTAAATATGGCCTAGCTCCAAGTTGTTATAATATGAACTACGAATGGTTTGATCTCTTTCTAAGGGTATGTAGGCAGCCTTTCACAAGGCGCAACTATAAAATAAATAAACTCTATCTTTGTCGCGAGAAGAACCTAATTCCCGAGCTTCAACGTCATGAGAATGTTTTTCCCTTATCAAAGAAATTACAAATACTTTGTTGAAATTCATGCATCAACAAAGTAGTAGTTTTTTTTTCTTTTATTATTGCCAATATAATTTAAAGTAAGTAGGCAACAAATTCTTATGAAAATAGATTCCATCATCTCTAGCTAACCAATTATACGATGATCCATCCTTAACGAACAAACCTTTCGCTTGATATGCAGTAAAACCTCTAAAACGCTTATAATCAGGTCCTTTATATATGTCGCACCAAAATTCCGTCGTTCCCCAAAAGTTGGTCTTGAAGCTGAATGACATTATTTCTCCAATTTCGAGATATTTTATACCAATATCGTCGTTTTTGGATTTACAATGCACCTTGAGGACTAGCCTGCTTTTGGGACTGAATTCATTCTTGACTGTAATCATAGACTTTTTCCCATATACATCACCAATCATGCAAAGGCCAAAAACAAACAGAAAGATTGAGACGTTTTTCATTATTTTTCTTTTTTTCTGTAGAAATGTTTTTTTTTTTTTTTAAGAAATGTATAGATCTTCTTTTGTCGGGTTGACTTGTTTATTATATATAATATTTTTTGGGGTATAAATAACCAACATCTATATTGCTATTTTTGCATTTACAGTTTCTTGTTTCTTTGTTAACATAAGTTTGCTATTAATAGTGGAAATAACAAATTATTGGAGACTATCAATTTATGGTTGACAAAAATTAGTGTATGAACTTCTAAGTACCAGCGTAGCAGAGGTTATCTCATCGGGAGATTGTATCGCCAGTTGTAATATATAATTTGCGGCAAACAATATGTCCGCCAAAATGAAATCTCATCTAAGTTGCTGATATTAACCTTCATATCTATGTACTTATAATGTCCATTACTTTGGCATAAACAAAAAGCGCACATGCCGAATTAATCGATCAACTATATCTTCATAAAATATTTCTTTTACAAGTACTTCAGAGCAATACTATAGATTTCAGAGTTCACTTTTTGTATACAACACCTTTATACTTATTGTGACAAGTTATGAAATTTTAATTCTAGAGCTTGCCCTTTTTTTACCTAATAAATCAAGTAGTAGTTTTTTTTCTTTTATTATTTCCAATAAAACTTATAGTAACTAGGCAACGAATCCTTATGAAAATAGATTCCATCATCTCTAGCTAACCAATTATACGATGATCCGTCCTTAACGAACAAACCGCTCGCTTGATATGCAGTAAAACCTCTAAAACGCTTATAATCAGGTCCTTTATATACGTCGCACCAAAATTCCGTCGTCCCCCAAAAGTTGGTCCTGAAGCTGAATGACATAATTTCACCAATTTTGAGATATTTTATACCAATGTCGTCGTTTTTGGATTTACAATGCACCTTAAAGACTTTCTTGCTTTTGGGATTGAATTCATTCTTGACCGTAATCATAGACTTTTTTTCCCCATATACATCACCAATCATGCAAAGCCCAAAAAGAAATAGAAAGATTGAGAGGTTTCTCATTTATTGTTTTTTTTTTTTTGCTATATTTATTTGTAGGTAAACTAGTTAATTTTCTCTTTGAAGTGTTATATATGATACTTGTATTTTAGCATTTACATTTCTCTCTATTATTGTAAATTTTCTATTAATAATTGAGGTAGCAACTCAATACAAAATTAATGATTGATAGTTGACAAAGAATCTGTGTATTGGATTTTTTTATGTAATTAATTATAGATATAAGTCTTTTTGCTTAAAATAAACATGTTATTGTTTATACTTCTCCGTATCATTTTTAGCAATTTTAGTGATGTTTTTATAAAACAAAAGTATTGTAGTGATATTTCCAATTAAATGCAATTTCATTTCAAAATTCTGTTCTGGAGGTAAAAAAGAATTCAAATAACTTGAGCAATATGAAACGCTTTTGAAATTACGTTTTATTATTCAGTTTTCTTTCTTGGAAAAAGAGAACCCCGGAATAGTACTGTACAAAGTGGGTCAGAGCCATTGTGATTTGTGACTATAAATTTGTATGTACAAAAAAAGTCCACTGATTTCTTCTTGAACAAGAAAACCATTGAGCTTGTGTAACCATGAAGCTGAACCAGTTAAGTTCTCACTCGGTGATGTCGAAGTATCTTGGGTTTTCAGGGTAATGGTACTCCACATTCAACTGCAAGACAGAGACAAATAAATGATTTTATTATCACTTTACAAAAATAAAACTCAACTAATTTTAGCTATTTGCGAAACGATGGTCAAGACTCAAAACACAAATCTCATACGTACCTTTCCTTCATCAGAATCTGTGTGGCGCTGAGGAAACACGACTCTTAAGTCGTTGTACAGATAGAATCTCCTCTTCCCATCTGAATCCAAGTTTTTCTTTTGCCCCGTAGTTTCCGTTTCGTCAGATTTCTTTGAAGCTTTCTTCGGTAATGGGCAAAGAAATCTCAGATGAAGAGCATAGCGTAGAGCACCAGAACCACCGTTACATTCTTTGGACGTGTTTAAACAGCTTTTTCCACTTTCATGTATTTCATCAAATTTCTCATCTCCTTCCACTGAATCTACTAAATCAGATCCTTCACAACTTTCTTTGTCCCCCTGTTTAGAGTTTCCTTTTTCCAAGCTTTTGGATTTTCTAGTGTTCTCTTGCATTGCTTCACTAGTTGGATTAGATGATCCCAGAGTAACCTTCTGGCGCAAGAACGTCTGCATAATACCAAAATAAACAAATGTTCAAAACTTCGATTTATCAATACAACAGAGAACATGCAATAATGAAAACTACGATTTCATCAAGTTTTTCTTGACGCCTGGTGCTTTCCTAGAAGCGATAGAATTACTCTTATGTATATAGCAGACACATTATATCATTCCCTAATGATTTTAGTTTCTACACAAAATCATTTCCTCTTCATAAAATGAAAACAAATAAAAAGGTGTTCTCTTTTATGTTCTCTATTACCTTTGTACCGGCTGGCATATCAGTCAAGTCATAGTTACAGAGGAAGGTGTGAAGAGGGGTTTTCTCAGGGTTACTAAGAACCTGCAATAGAGCAGTTTATATCATGAGTGAACATTCAGAGCTTTTCAATACTCTCTACCAGAATTCAGCAACACAGAGAAACAGTTTAACTTAGCCTATTACCTTTACCTTTGTGTTCTCCTATTAGACACATTTAGCACTGATACTTGTCAGGGATTACAATTACCAATTTTTAGGTGACGATTCAACATTCAAACAAATGTCTAACTCATAATTTGCTAGGACCAAATGACTAAATTGTCTTCTGGCAATCTAAACAACCATAAGTAACACCTGAAAATACTTCATACACTCTTGGCTATTGGAATCCAGGGAGCATTGCAGCTGTTAACCCACTAATTGGTCTTTCAAAATCATTTACACGAGAAAATTGCGGTTATGACGAATGATATATACTGCTTCTAGCCATACCTTTATAATCCAACCGCGTCTATACTAAATGCAGATTTGATAGGACCAAATAAACAAAGAGAAAGCAGGTACCAGTTGAATCCGACCCTTCATGGGGATCCGCAGTTGGCTCTTCGAACTCTGAGCATCAGAGTTCATTTGACTTGTTTTCATTTTCTGGCCCCAGAATTTGTTCAATTTAGATCCTCCAGCGAGATCTATGGAGGCATAGTATAGCAAGAGGCAATCATCACCAGCACTAGTTACTGAAAATGGAAGTTTCTGTGATTTTGGAGAGATGTTTCCCCCAGCAATACTAAGAACGGCAAGGAAGCCGTCAATCTTCTGTACACAGAGAGCAGACAGAAGTCAAAAATCTAAATTACAAAACAAACAAAAAAAATTCTTTTTTACTCAAAAAAGCTTAGTTCTGAGTCTATAGCTTTTGCATAAGCAGGATGGTGATAATGACTTTTTCCTTTTGGTTTTTGCATATCTACATTAAAATCTATAAACAGTCGTCTGCATTCTGCAATAGTCAGTTTTACCAATCCTCAATCTCTAAAGCGGCACATTTTTCCTTCATAACTAGGGACAAACAGCAATTAAAGGATGTAACTTTCTTATGACCTATAAAGTGAGTCATCAAAGCATCAGAGTCAAAGATGAAAACCTGATTTGTTGGCCCGCATGACAATCGTCCTGTCAAGAGTGACTCCTCAAAAGAACCAACCAATGACCTCTGAATGGGGCGTCCACTCAAGCTTCTAATGAACCTTTTACATGGAGATGCAGGAGCTGATTCAGTACTTCTCTCCATTGAAAATGCTCTCCTAATGGCATATGCATCATCAAACAGTCTACGATCAACTCTTAATTCTGCTTCTTCACTGATATTCCTTAGATCTTCCAGTATCTTCCCATTTTGACAACTTCTTACAGCTTTTATTCTCTCAGAAAACTTCGGACCAAGTGGTGACAGACAAAGCGGCGGAGACACAGATATTTCCTTATCACAAGGTAAGGGCTTATTTGGTATGCCAGACGTTTCATATAGTGGTGAATATAAGCAAACCTCACCATTAGTGGGTCGGCGGAGGTCTACAGAGTCAAGCAATGGACCATCAGTGAAGACCATGGACGAGAGTCTACTACTGTTTGAGGCATTCTTCCATTCCCAGCAACTAGATGTGGTTGTGGTCGTAGGAGTGGTAGAGAGATGTAACCTACTAGGGGTATTAGCCTTATTGTGATCTTGTGCGACAGACTTGCAGAATCCATTAGACTGACCAGAATAAGTATTTTGTTGATGGTTACCACAGCTGATATCAAGCAGGTCACCTCTGAATTTTACAGGGAAAAGAGTATTCAACGGGGAGAGTACTCGTTTCCTGACTAACGCTCCACCAATATCTACTCCTGTAACTCCACCAGTGGATGATAGAGAGTGATCAACAGCGACACTCGTTTGTTTGTTGTCCAGTGAGCTAGTTTCGCTTGATGCAAAACCAACTATTCTTCTAGCTCCAGTTAGACTCGAACTAACCTTACCTGCAGCATAACTAGTTGATCCATGAGCACTTGATGAGGTAACAACACAAGTGCCATGGAAAGGCTCCAATGATGTTTTTCTATCAAATTCTCCAATGGAAGAGCAGATGCCTCCTTCGCTTCCTCCATCTGAATCATGGGAAGTGGCATACACAGGCAGACTTTGCGAAAGGCTACAACTTGGAGCAGACAAAGCTTCCTGGGACTGTTCACTTGAAGCAGTCTGTGGCAGACCCATAACTAATAATACTCAATGGAATTTATCAAGTAAAAGGGTTATGGTCACTTCTGAGATGTGAATTTCCAAATCCCTACTTATCTAGAAACTCCCTAGAAACTACCAAATCCTTGAAAATAAACAATACTGACTAACTCTATCTCTAACAGAACAATAAATATAAATCTAGAACTATGTATCAGTCACAGGCATCCACAACTCGTGCATTGCTTGCCTAGAGACCCGCATACAAGAAACCAAACACTTAAGATTTATCCGACATTGGTTTATGGCAGAGCGGTCTGAAGCTACATGAAATGCGAGGGTGACAGATACAGAGTTCATTGCAGTTACCCTTTCCTGAAACAAATAAAATGGAGAAAGCGAATCAATTACACAGTAACGACACACACCCAAATTTGTGCAGAAGTTTATTAGGAAAGGTTCAAAAGAAGTTATGACTGATTCCATTTATAAGAATAAGAAACGATCAACCAAATCATGATTGGGAAACATAAAACCAAATAATTTATAACAAGTGTTACTAAGCAAGAAGAAGAATTCAAACAATAACAGCCATTACAACAAAAATAAAACATAAATCATATGATTCATTAGCAAAAATGATTGATCCTCAAAAATTCTAAGTGTTATAAGTTTCAAGCAAACATCAGTAGAATAAGATTTGAGCAAAATACAAATGATCGAACACTATCACAAAATCTTCCTCAAGTGTACAAACAAATCAATGATTCAGAGAGATTGCATGGGATAAACTTGTGATCAAATCAATCTGATCACAAAAAAAAAAGGTTTCCCCAGAAAACAAATCAGCTCATCATCAACAACAACATCGTAAAACTCACAAAACCGATGATGCAATCAAGAAACTCGGATAAATCAAATGACGAAATAAACGCACCGATGAAGCAATATGTTCAATAAAACATTTCAGAAGAACAAGTCCACAAAATCGGAATCATTCAGATGATAAACCCTCTGGATCCAAAATTAGAAATCAAACTCAAAAATCGAATGAAGAAGACGAATCCAAAAGGTATAAGAGAAGAAGAATATTTCAAAGGGGTGCGTGAGAGAAGAAGAAGCAAGCAAGAGGTACCTCTCTCTCTTCTTCTCTTATCTTTCAATCTGTTTTTATAAAAACAAATCCCAATAAAACTCATCGCCATTAACATCGCTCTCTTTTTCTTTTCCTTCTAATTAACATTTTTTCACTTTTACCAAAATACGAAAATGTTTTACCCAGATTAAACATTCTTTTCCCGTTAATATTTACCAAAAAACAGGAATTTCTCAAACTTTTATTACATTAATAAATGATAAATCGTTAATAATCAATAAACATTACCGTTTTTATTGTCTTTTTCACCGTAAAGAAACAACTCCAACGAACAGTAAAAATGGAGGAAAAATAAATAATTGTTTTTTTTTAAAAGACGAGAGAGACAAGAAAGCTGTTGGGAACTGGGATGAGCTTTTTGTGCCCTTTCACTATTTCTCGCTCTTATCCCTTAGTGGGCCATAAAACAAGGCCCACATACTAGTGGATCAATAGATTAAGCCCAGCACGTGATCGATCTCACGTGAGATGACGACAGATGATTCTCCTCCACCCAAAAGCTGAGCCTCTCGTCTTGTAGAACACATGTGACGCTAGTTTCCTTCAGTAGTGGAGAGTATATGAAATAAAAGCCGAAAACACTAAAATTATGCAAAAAGATACATTATTAATGTCGAGATGATATACAAGATAAATCACATGAGGGAGAGTAAAATCGACCTAGAAAGGTCGGGAAGCTTCTTCCATCATTTTCTTCACTCTCGTCAACTTCTCGATTTCTTTCAGAACCTGAAGAACATTGTTCACAAACGTTTCACATTTGTAATCATAACTCAAAATGAAAACAAAAAGAACGCAACATTTTACCTCCAAAGCAATGTCTTCAGAAGTTACTGTTTCCAAGTCTTCAAATTCCATCTTTGTAGCTATTTCTGTTTCCAAGTAACAAAAAAGCAGAATCAGTCACATAATATAAATTGTAATGTACATTATTTGACTTATGATAGATTCTTACTTTCAAGGGAAATGGATGCATCTGCTGTTTCGTAACCCTTTCTTGATTTTTCGTAACTCGCTTTTAGTGTGTCAAACAACTGTGTTCATCCATCATGAAAGTCAGTTTCTCTGTAATAACGCCAATGGAAAATTTAAGAAGTTCAGAGGAAAGAAAGAAGAAAAACCTCAGGAGAAGGTTCTAAGTTGAATGAATCATCATCCCCTTTAGCAGCGATATCCAGAGGAACATCGATCCATATGGATATTCCGTGTCTTAGAAGTGCACTGTTCAAACATTTATGATCAAATGAGAAGAGACAGGAGAGGAATGAAAAAGATATAAGCAGCATGAGTATGTCTTCGAAAACCACAAACCGCAAGAGAGAAACTACAGAAACGTATATATAACATACAGATTTGTCAAGCTCTGGACCGCACCATCTCCAGCGCAAACTACAAGCCGACCCATAGATGATAGCTGCTTCAGCACTTCCGTCTGCAGAAACATGTTAAGAGAGTCATCGTCAAAATCTATTAGATGGATTTTGAGTCGGTATTTTGTAAGTGGGATTAATCCTCATTTAGAAAATGGACCGGGGATGCAGTCATATGATAAAAGTGCAGATCAAATGATTGAATTTACCTCTGATTCCTGAAAAGCCTTCTCATCTGCTTCCTTCAAAGCTTGAGCGGACAAATTTCCACCAGCCGCCTCTGTGATCAAATTATCACTACACAACAAGAATAAACTAAAAAGTTAAAGATAGTGTGAAAGGACTTAAGAACATCCAATGTGAGTTTATCAAAAGGAAGAGAAATATTAAGGTGGCAACCCTCTGTTATGGAGGTAAAGGAACAAGAGCGAGAGTTTAACGCTTAACACTTAACACTAGTGCTCGAATAAACTGGATTCCACAACTACCTCATACGTATTGTAATTTGGGTTTAAACAAAGATAAGTAACAGTAAGAATGTCTGAAACTCCGGTCACTCTCAACAGCTATAAGGATTCCTAAAAACTATAAAAGCAGACTATGATTCTGATGAACTTACGAGTACTTACCTATCAAAGTAGTAATATCGTAATGCCTCAGCCAAAAGCTTCCCCGTCTTAGTTTTAATAGAGTTATTAATCCCTATTCCAAAGTGTTAAAGCTCACACATCAGTGTCCGTCCATATGAAGTAGAAAGTTAGTTTAAATATTAGAGCGTAGCCAAGTCGGCCTTACCAACCAGAAATATCGAAGCTCCTTTCAATTCAGGGGCTATGTCCATAGCTTTCCTCTGAGTATCAGACGGAAAATGGTTAAAGAACTTCTGAAGTAAAGAGGAATCAAAAGCTGGTTCTTATGAAAACTCTCACCTTTACAACATCTATGGGATCTGAATCAACAACACTGATCCCTAAGCAACAAACAATGAACCGATACAGATCAATCAGATAACGTAACTACAACTTCTTCGTTTCCTAGAGCAGCCATTACTCAGCACCAAAATTTGGACTATTTCAGCATCAGACATACCGTCGAACACTTGATACATAGTCAATTTAACGATTTCGCTAGACTTAGGCATCTCTGAATTTTCAAATTAGGGTTTGAAAACTAACCGGTAGAGGCAGATTGATCGGCGAGAGACTGAGACGGAGCTATACGACTGTGAGAAGAAATGAGTCTAATGGAAGAAGAAGACAACAACGGCTTGTAAGAGGTAGTTGGAGCTCGAGTAGAGAGCAAGGGAAGAAGACGAGGAACGAATCGAGAGAAAGTTAGAGAAGCAGATGCAGATATCTCCATTGACGACGACGAATGGTCTCTTCTTAGCTCCTTCTCTCCCTCCTCCTCTAGTCCCAAGATATCATCAGCCACGTATAATTTTTTCTTACCATACTTTTATCGAAAAATTTTAAATAATTTTTTATGAAATATATATATATAAATTTAATAGAAACACTTAATTTTAGGTTTATCCATTTCGGAACGAAAACCAGTCCATCCTACATTCATTCCTAATTTTTGTTTCCAGCAGTCATCTTTTTCCTCATCATATCAACCACACCAGACAGCTCTGTTAACACAACTGATGCCATTACCCTCACCACAAACACTGTCCTCAATATTAACATGTCTAATGTTACCAAACTCACAAGCACCAACTATATGATGTGGAGTTTACAGATTCACGCTCTCCTTGATGGCCACGGTCTCGCCGGTCATCTCGATGATGGTCTAAGGCGGTTCTACAAAAACGTCGGATTTGAGTGGTTTATCCGCGACTTCCATCCCGACAAGCGAAATGGACAGACGTAGGCATAAATAGACTTAGTTTCATATGTTATACACCAGAATTTTCGAAAATTTTATTTTGAGGTTTCAGATATTGCAGGGGATGAAAGAAGAAAAATTGAAGGGATTGAAAATGAAAATGGAATAAAGAGCAGAGGCTTAGATTTACAATGGGAAAAAAGAAACCTAAAAAAAGAAAAAAGAGATTAACCAACTAAAGAATAATACATATACCGACTTCTATATTCACTGGTGAAGATCTCTGAATTTGTACAACAAGCGTTTTGGCCAAACGCGACGCAGACGCAGCAGCCTCATCGTTCGATCAGCTTTCCTACTCCTGCATGATTAATAGCCTATGGAGGTTTCAATAAATCCACAGCAAACAAAATCCATTTATGAATTATGCAATTCAATACTTTTTACAAAAAGAGTAATTACATTTCGACTTGTTTGCGTTGGCGTGTAGAATGAAAGTGTCATTCTAAACTCCAAACGCAAACAAATGTTAAACAAGACCATTTCATTTGCGTTTTATGGAACATGCTCTATATTTCAAAAATGTAATTTTTTTTCTGTAAGATTATTTTTATGTAAATGCATAAAATGAGTTTGAAACAATCGATTTACCTCTGATTTGACTGGTCTGAGCAACTCCTGTGGCCTGAGGAAGAGGCCGAGACAGGCTCATTGGTGTTAATGGTGGGGATGCTACTATATCATCTCTCCTTTCAACCGGCCGTTGAGAAACAGCTCTCTGGTTTCTTGAAGGTATAGAGTAGCTTCTAGGGACAACCAACGGAGGAACAGGAAGTGGTGAAGCCACAATGTTGGTGGCGGAAGGAGGAGCAACAGTTACAGTGTTTCTTTCTTGGTTCCATCCGGTTAGAGGCGCCGAGTGACCAACCAGACCGGGGGACTTGGCTCGTCTTGGCGGTGGTGGAAAGTGGCCTGGGGGTCTTGGAAGCTCGTGAAGCTCGTTGAGCCTCGGGGAAGAAGCAGGAGGAGGTGAAGCTGTAGGGGAGACTCTTGGAGAAGATGATGGATGGGGATGAGGGAGTACTGGAGGAGTCGGCAGAGGACAAAACGCGCCTGAGTAACTGTCCGCCGTGGTGACAGGTTTTGTTGAGGACGGTTTGAGAGGTCCGGAAAATGCATGTCTTCCTGCTGCTTGCTGCTGATGATGATGATGCGTGTCTGTTGTAGAAGGCCGAGGGAGGCGGCCGTAGAAGCTGTTGTTTTCTGCGTCTTTCCCATCTTTCCCGCTTTTTATCGGCTCTAACGGAGATGAATGCCATATGTTTCCGGCACTGTGGTTTGCTGGCCTCGGATTTAAAGCTTGGGAAGCCGGTTTCGAGTACCTTGAATCGTTTGGTGTTGGTAATACGTAGGCATTAAAAGATGGATTCACCACCTGTCTCAACCTCTCTGATAAATCAGGTTTCTTTTCTGGGAACAACGGAGCTGAATGGCTGCTCAAATACTTATCGCGGGTTGAAACTGGATATTCTTCTCTATGATCAGCATTTACCTGTGCAAGAGAAAAGTAAAATACTTATCAGACTAGACTCTCACCACCCAATTAATTGCAGTTGAGAGCATTTGGTACACAAATATTGAAAAAACATACCGCTGCTGGTCGTGTTGTAGAAGGGCGAGGAAACGAGAGGTCTGAATCATCCATCTGGATATAAAGAGAAGAGCATAAGAACAGTTTTTATAGGTAATGTGTGTATGTATCGTTTTACCATCAAAATCAACTTACCTTTGAGCCCCATGGTGTAGAGAGAGAAGCAGCTTCTACCTTCTGGTCATTTGTTCTGTAATCAAAACTGAGTTCTCCTTCTCTGTTCATATATCGGCTATCATCATCATCATCATCATACTCATTAGCTTCCACCTCGTTCCCATGAACAGATAGATCACAGTCAATGTGTTGTTTCTCTGCAGCAATTTTTACATGACGCTCAACTGCCTCGAGAGATTTCAGTCCAGTGTGGAACAAACGCATCTACAAAGAATTACAAGAAAGAAAGTCAGAAATACAAAAGGCGATCAGCAAAGTTTAATGAGAAATTAAATAAACAGACCAAATTTAAACATAAGCTTTACCTGAGCAGTGTGGTGACGGACTGCTTGTGTAAGGAGACTACGAGCTTGTCCTTCTTTAAGAGATTTCAATCGAAAAATGCACATTGTTGCTTCGTCATGAAACTCACTGTAAGCAGGTCGAGACTCGGGAGGAAAATGTCTCTCTCCTTTACTGCTTTTAGGCCTTCCTTTATCTTTAACTAGCGACATCTCATACACATTCCTGAGAGTTTGCAGGTAAAGAAGTTGTTGAAGGAAAACTTTATCCAAACAATAAAATAAAACCTTCAGTAGTAGAAAATTAGCAAACCTCTTCTCGTCGCATTGTTGCTTCATATCCTGCTCATTTATAAATATAAAAAGATGAGTAAAAACAGTAAACACATTTCTTGAATACAAGAGTAGCAAATTATGGTATACCTCAACAGTTCTGAGGTCCTTAAGAAGTGCCTCTGATGGGGATGTTATAGTTTTGAATATATGACTACGCTGAAGAACAAAAACCATGATCAAGTAAGCTTTAATAGGTTAATAAATAGAGCTTTTTGCAGAATTCATATTTCCAACAAACAACTTACATATGTGTCAAGAAGTCTTTGAAGCTCACTCTGAACTTTACTCAACATAAACAAGATTCTACCTACATAAGAAAATAATGTTACAATAAATCATATAAATTAGACACAGGAAAGTAAAATTCTATAATAGGCTAATCTAAAGCACTTACTGCTTTCTTCGTCGTTATGAGGCGCGATTTGCTCCAAACAAGAACCCATTTCTCCCAATGACTCAGAGAACTCTACAATCACCAAAGTATAAACAATATAGTGTAAGAATGTTCTTACAAAAACCTATTTGCATTTAGCATATTAGACAGACAATTGGATGTTTCTTTACCATAAGCGCTATTTGCCGTGGCAGCAGCTGCGGAGAGTAGTCTATCGTAGCAGTCTCTCATATCTTGCATATCCTGAGAACACTGTCTAAAGTTACTATCATACCATTCAAACAAAAATGGAAACTTTCCATACAGTTAATAAAAGTCAAATTCAATAACTAAAATAGTGCTTCTTCCATAGATAACCCTAAATCTCATCTAAAAGTGATAAGATTTTTGCTACCAATTCAAAAAGTTTCTAAATTTGTTCTTCACTCACAAAAAAGGTTTCAAATATAGCATTTTTCCGGCCAATTAAGTAATCAGAAACTCGATCCAAAAGCATAAACCCTACTAAAATCTCGACGATTCCGCAAAAACCCAAGTTCGTAAGAACATCAAATTGCGATAATTTTTTCGAAATTAATGAAGTTAGGGTAATTTTGTTACCTTCCCGGCTCGATCGAGTTCGTCAATTTGTGTTGTAGCCATGACATCTCCTTTCTCCTTCACATCAACCTTATGTGAATGCGATGTTAATCTCCTTAACTTCTCAATCGAAGCTTTCATCTTAGAATAATGTCAAATCTCAAAAACCCTAATTACGAAATTTTTCAGTCAAAATTCTCTGAGAAAAAGCTTGGGATCGAAAATTCTCAAAATAAAAGTAAGAAGAGATAGATAAATTTGAGACTAAATCAGAGAAGAGAAGAGAAGAAAGAGTGAGATTCAAGTATCGTCAGATATGTTCAACGACATTGAAGAAAGAATAATAAGGAAGAAAAAAAAAAAAGTTTCTTTGGTCAAAAAAAAACAGATCGAAACAGAGAGAGACGGAGACGGAACCCAGATAACAGCAAGCAACAAGAGATGAATGATCTAACGGTGTTAAGAATTTATATGAAGAGAGGTGAAAAGACACGTGGCGGAATCGTAACGGATGATAAGGAAGAGTCAAAAGTCAAAGATTGATGACAGGGAAAGAAAGTGATTATCATTATTTGGGTTTGACCGCCAGTGGGAGGGTCAAACATCTCTTCCCTTTTTTTGACAAGTTATTAATTGTTTCTTTGAATTAAAACAAAAGTTGTATTTAATTGCATTAGATATTTAATATCCCCTGAGTTAATTAAAGTCCAAAAAATCTGTTGGTGGTCAAGATAATTTAAGCTTCAAATCTATTTCAGATACATATATGATATATCAAACTAGTGTGCTTATTACTGTTTTAGGGTTTTTCCATGATTAAAAATATCCATGGTTCTATACTCTTTAATCTTTTCTAATGTGTTATGCAATAAAAATGTTCCAATAGACCATATGAGGATGAGGAAGGACCCAAAGAAAACAAAACTTTTTTTTGATAAAGAATATGCCATTAGATTGGCTAACTATGAATTTTTATTTTAATAAGATCTGGATAATTAAAAATTTATAAAACATATGTTGTGGAGTAGTCTTGGGAGCTCATTAACTAAATTCAAGAGATAAGAATATACGAGAGTTTTCTATCAAACTTTATTGGAACTTGATCATAATTTCTATTTGAGCAAAACATCTTACGGCACAGTAACAAATACGGGTTACATGCGAAGTTATCAGTACAAAATCTAGACAACAAAACGAATAAAGTTTTATTATATGATGATGGTGACATTGATGACTTAGAAAATGCAGCATGGCCTCTTACTTTTTCAACTTTACGCGAATTATAGAAGAAAATGAAATAGCACAAGTATAAGAATGAACCAAACTGGGAAAGACTACATCATGAAGAAGAGAGATTTCATGGAGGATATAAGCAAATTAATTAATTAGTAATTACTGAAATTAAATTTACGAAACTACCGAGTATTTATGCTAAATAAAAAAATTTTATGCTACACATAATTGAAATTACTGCAATTAAATACAAATAACCAAAATTAGACCAAAATCGGTACTATAGTTCTGAACTTACCGATTTTTAAGTTCACGAGTAAACGGTATGATTTCGAACCGGAACTATAAATCCGGTTTAAAGACGCAAGTGGATAATCTTGACCGATCCATCATCGTTTTTCACATTCCGCCTCCGCTTCATTATCCTCTGAAAACCTAACGTCAGCCATGTTTTTGTCTCCTCACCGCCGCCGTCGATTTTCACAGCGGTCGAACTTCTTCGTCCTGCCTTAACGCAGCTGGATTCGAAGATCACTAGGAATTGAGTTATTCTCTATCGAAGAGCTAGCGTTTGGAGTGTTGCGATGCGTCTCCGTTGAGGGGGATTGAAACAGCGTTTGTAAATGCGATAGTACTTGAGAAGGAATAATAATTCGAGAGGAGATTTTATTTCACTTCGATTGCTGTCGATGACAATGAAACGATGGTATGTTTAATTTCTTCTATGTGTGCTTAGTTCTATGAACTGTTCTAAGGGTTTCTTTAACACTAAAGCTCCGAACTAACTTGGTGTTATTGAATTTTGGGACTTTTTTTTTACATACAGGAAAAGTTGTGGTCAAAGTTTTCGCAATAATGATAGGATCAGTGAATTGCCTGAAGCTTTGCTTCTGGAGATATTATCTTTACTTCCAACAAAAGATGTCAGAGCCACTAGTGTTTTGTCCAAACGATGGCGGTCCCTTTGGAAGATGGTGCCGAGGCTTGAGTTTGATGAACGGATGTTTTCAGATAATATCAGCAGGTGTTTGCTTTCACATCAAGCTCCGGTTCTACAGAGTTTGCATCTCGAAATGAATTCTGATGTTTTCTCTAATATGGTTATTGGGATATTGGTGGGAATTGCGTTTGGACTCCATGTGCGTGAGTTGGTACTCTATGTTTACGGCAGCCAAGAGTTGTTTAGATTTCCTTTTAGCTTGTGTAACTGCGAATCACTAGAGACATTGATACTCGGTCAAAATATTATTATTGATGTCCCTTCTCCGGTTTGTTTAAATTCCCTTAGAACTCTAGACCTAGACGGGGTGGGGTACAAAGACGATGAATCTGTTCTTAACCTTTTATCTGGTTGTATTAGCCTGGAAAATTTGGTGGTTCATCGACTTGAACAAGCTGATGTGAAGACTTTCACTATTGCGGTGCCATCCTTGCAGAGGCTAACACTTACTGCTGAAAATGATGATGAAGACTCGGTCTATGTGATAAATGCTCCTTCTTTGAAATACTTGAAGTTTGATGGGGTTTTAGATGATACTTGTCTGATTGAGAATACACCTGAGTTAGTGGAGGCAAGTCTGAGAGATAGGGGCGTTGATGATGATGATGATGTGTCAGATATAGTCTTTGGGAACATTCTTGGATCCCTTACTTCTGTCAAACGCCTTTCTTTGGAGATATCAGCATCCTTGGAGGTAAGCTTTTCTTACCATTGATTCAGTTTCACTTGTTACTACATTGTAGTTTTTCTAATACTGTCTCATGCATAGATTAAGTTTCCTACTGGTAGCATCTTCTCCCAGCTGGTATCTTTGGAGCTACATACATATGAACCAGAGGTGTGGAACCTACTTTCGCTTATGCTTGATAGTTCACCTATATTACAAGTCCTCAAGCTCATCGGTGTAAGCATTATATTGTGTGTATATTTAAAAAAAAATTCCAGCTCAGTTTCAGGGTTCGATGATATAATATACATTGTGTTTCCCCCTCGTTGGTCTCAGAAAAAATATAGGAGGAAAGATCCCGTGGCCTGTATGAAATGGAATCAACCAAAAGATGTTCCTGAATGTTTGTTACTCCATCTCGAGACAGTAGTGTGGAAAAACTACCAAGGGGAAATAGAAGTTGAGAAAGAGGTGGCGAAATACATCCTAAGGAACACAAGTCGTCTGAAAAAGGCTACTTTCTCCAATGCATATATTCGTCCTGAAAAGAGACTTGAGAGGTTGAAGGAATTGGAAAGTGTGGTCATGGCTTCGAATTCTTGCCAACTTGTGTTCAAAGAAGTTGATATCACATGCTAGTCCTACAAACGTCTTACTTCACTCGGTTTTTAAAGACATTGGTTTTAGATGTTGAGTTATAGTATGACGCTATGTTTAGTTATTGTTAAGGTTGTACAATCTTGGGCTTGTGTTTCTTCTTTCTTGTTACCATTTGGAAGGAGAGATGCAGAGAACTTTTTGACGAGTAAGAAACTAAGAATGGCAAAATTTATAGGTTTGTTAAATGAAAATAAGAACGGTAAAAACAGAGAGGGAGTCTCAATTTCTGACCAAGTGTTGTGGACCCAAGATCTAACGGGTTTCTAAGATGTTGCAATTTAAAACTGGCTAATTTAGTTCTCACCATCAACTTTATCTTGAGTTTAACGGAGCTTGATGTGAAAGCAAACACCTGCTAACCCAAGATTTTTTTTTTATGTTGGAACATGTCTTCAAGAGGTTTTAACAGAGACTCTCTTTGAAGAAGAGAATTACATTTTCACTTATATAGCAAGGAGGTCAAAACTCGTTGATACAAAAGTTAATTAATTAGTAATTACGACTGAAATTAAATTTACGTAATTACCAAAATATTTATGCTACACATAATTGAAATTACTGCAATTAAATACAAATTACCAAAATTAGACCAAAATCAGAACCAAATCGGCACTGTAATTCTGAATGTTAAACGGTATGATTTTGAACCGGAACTATACCTGTTTTTGTCTCCTCACATTTCCGCCTCCTCCTCTGAAACCCTAACGTCAGCCGTATAACTCTGCCGTGATTTTATCTCCTCACCGCCGTCGATTTTCACAGCGATCGAACTACATCATCCTCCCTTAACGCAGCTGGATTTGAAGATCACGAGGAATTGAGTTATTCTCTATCGAAGAGCTAGCGTTTGGAGTGTTGCGATGCGTCTGCGTTTGAGGTGGTTTGAAACAGCGTTTGTAAATGGGATAGTACTGGGGATGGTATAAATCAAAAGAAGATCTTGTTTCACTTCTATTGCTGTCGATAACAATGAAACGATGGTATGTTTCTTCTATGTGTGCTTATTTCTATGAACTGTTCTTAGGGTTTCTTTAACTTTGAGCTCCAGTGTTCTTTCGTTTCTTGAATTTTGGGGCTTTTTTTTGGTTTACAGCAAAAGTTGTGGTCAAAGTTTGAGCAATGAGGATAGGATCAGTCAGTTACCTGAAGCTTTGCTTCTGCAGATATTATCTTCACTTCCAACAAAAGAAGTTGTCGCCATGAGTGTTTTGGCTAAACGATGGAGGTTTCTTTGGAAGATGGTTCCGAGTCTTGAGTTTATTTACAATCCCACAAATGATTTTGAGAGGTTTTCATATAATGTCAGCAAGTGTTTGTTTTCACATCAAGCTCCGGTTCTACAGAGTTTGCATCTCGAAATGAACTTTGACAGTGACTCTAGTATGGATATTGGAATATTGATGGGAATTGCCTTTGGGCGCCAACTGCGTCAGTTGGTACTCAAAGTTTACTCTGGGGATATGTTTAGCTTTCCTACAAGTTTGTATAACTGTGAAACTCTAGTGACCTTGGAACTCAGCCATTGCATTCTTATAGATGTCCCTTTTCCGGTTTGTCTCAAGTCCCTTAGAACTCTACACCTTTACAAAATGGAGTTCGATAACGATGAATCAGTTCTTAACTTTTTATCTGGTTGTATTAGCCTGGAAAATTTGGTGA